TGCTTCCTGCGCCGGGCCTCCCGCCCTGGAGAGCTCCGCAAGAGCCGTGCAGTGGGCGCTTCGATGTGCTGCGCCGGCACGGCGGCAGGCTCTGCGCCCCACGTGCGGCGGACGAAGGCAACGGTACAACGTACACTCGTAGACGGCACAGCGGAAACTCGTCCGCCGTCGGGGAGGCCTTCAGGGGAACGAGCAATGGTAGAAACATAAAAACTCGGAGGTCCGCGCAGATTTCCTGGATCTGCGCTGGACCCGCCCTGGCGGCGCCTCCGGCGCCGCCCCTGGCGCGCTCCGCGCGCTAGGGAGGAGGGTCGAGCGCCGATCCGAGAAATCCGCGCGGACCTCCGAGTTTTTATGTTTATACCATTGCTCGTTCCCCTAACTATACAGAAGGAGCTCGCCCACAAGAAACCTTCCACAAGAAACCCACCCCTGAGGCCCCAGGACGTCCACTGATTTCTGGTGAGGAGAACGCCACGCTCTGCATCGCAGAACCATCGAACCCAAAGAAACCCCAGCGCTCTTGGCATGGGTCTCCACTGGAGTGGAGCGCGCTCGGTGATTATTTGAAGCCCCCAGGTCCTCTTGAGATTATGAGACGACCCCCGCGCCTTCTTTGGGGGCTGCCCCGCCCCCCCAGTTCTTCGGTGGCAACTCATGGGAGCCTCTCACACCATCTAGTCGGCTCTTGCGAACCGACGCTAATCGACGCTAAATCGACGCCAATCGACGCTGAATCGACGCTAACCGATGCTAACCGACGCAAAATCGGGGCCGTCTCATCGACTCCCAGACGATAACCGACGCCAATCGACGCTAAAGACGGAATATGAGCTTTCCGAATGCCCTGTGACGGGCGTCCCCGACAGCGGGAAAGCTTGCTCCGTACCGCGCTTCGTCCGCCATCCTCTCGGGAGGCAGACCAGCGCAGGGAGCAGCTACAGGAACACACAGGCGGCCAGCCTATGAGGCGAGAGGCGCGGCGGGCAGGCGAAGCCCGCGGGGGGGGAGCGTCTCCTCCTCGCCCTCCTCGTCGAAGTCCTCCTCCTCGTCCTCGAGGAGGTCCTCCTCCTCCTCGCCCTCGTCGAAGTCCTCCTCGAGGACCTCTCTGGGAGCGCCCGGGGTGCAAAACTGCGGGCGGAGACTAGGGGCGACGTCAGGGCTGGACTGGCTCCAGGGGGAAAAGCCTTAGGTCGGGCATGTCCTCCTACAGGCGGATTTGGGAAGAAAAATGAAAAACAGTCAAAAATATATCCAATACTAGCCACACACACACAAAAAAAACCTTGTTATAATACCTATAAACTCTTATATGCAAGAAATTGAAGAGGTGAAGAACAAAACGGCAAAAACAAAACGATCGTTTGACCATTTCTGCCCGACTTCAGGGAAGCATCGGCCCGGTATCGGCGATGCATCGCCGAGAGATCGGTGGCAGGCCCGCGATAGCGCATGCGCAGCCTCCTGGGCAGGGTGGGCCACTTATCGGGCCCAATCGGGGGTCGATGCGTCCCCCCCCCTTAGCCTTCCTCCTCCTCCTTGTCCTCCTCCTCCTTGTCCTCCTCCTCCTCCTCCTCCTTGTCCTCCTCCTCCTCCTCCTCCTCCTCCTACTTCTCCTCCTCCTCTGCTTCGTCGTCTTCGTCTTCCTCTTCTTCTTCTCCTCTGCCTCCTCCTCCTCCTCCTCCGCTTCCAGCTCCTCTTAGCCGATCCCCCACCGAACGTTGCCCCTGAAGGGCAAGCGGAGCGGGACTGACACGCGCCGCCAAGAAGGGGTGTGCCGCCAACGCCGGCCAGCACGTCCGGCCGTCGTGACATGTCTGCTCGCAACGCGGCTCCCCAGAGGTATGCCGGATTCTCATCCCGAGCCGTGGTTGTTGACAGCCCAGGGTCCTGGTGAGGGCCCCCAGAAGCCGAAATCATCTATATATATATGTGTATATATACATACATACATGCATACACACATATATATATATATATGTATATATACACCTGCATGCATGCATGCATGCATACCGACATGCATACATACATCCAGAATTACATACATGTATACATGCATACATATATATATATGTATAGATATATACATACACACACATACATATACACATGCATACATACATACATACATGTATGCATCGATACATGCATACATGTATACATACACGCATGCATACATACATACATGCATGCATGCATACATGCATGTATACATGCATACATACGCACATACACACATACCGACCTACCTACCTACCTACCTACCTACCTACCTACATACATACATACATACATACATACATGCATACATATATGCATACATGCATGCATGCATACATACATACATGCATGCATGCATACATACATGCATACATGCATACATGCATACATGCATACATACATACATACATACATGCATGCATGCATACATGCATACAAACATACATACATACATACATACATGCATGCATGCATGCATGCATGCATACATACATACAGGCATTCATACATACACATCTTGTAGAAAACAGGAAACTTATGTTTACGTCGTGGAAGCTTCAAGGCGCGAGGACGTTGGGCGGGCGAGAGGGCGGTGGTGGAGGCCAGGGGGGGCAGTGTTCAGGCGAAGCCCTCTCGCCGTCGCCGGCGGCGCCGTCGGCGGCGGCGTTTGCATCGTCGGCTGCGTCGTCGATTGCGTCGTCGTCGTCGTCGGCGGCGGCGTCGTCGGCTGCGTCGGCAACGTCGTCGTCAGCGTCGTCAGCGTCGTCGTCGTCACCGTTGCCGCGTCATGGGCCTTTGCGTCGTCGTGGTCGCCGTCGGCCGTCGGCCCGGGCCAATGGGCCGGGCGAACGGCGGGCGAGGGGGGGCGGCAGAGGAGAACGAGCAGGGCTCCAAAAGGCCCCAGGCGGGTCAGAGAGTCAAGGAGCCGGCCTGGGTCCGAAGGCCAAGGTCCACAACGAGCAGGGCCGAAAAAACATGAAAGCGACAAATCAAAACAACAAACACACACACACACACACGCACGCACGCACGCACGCACGCACGCAAACAAATAAACAAACAACATCAACAAGCAAACCAAAAACAACAACAAACAAAAAAACGGCGCACCGCTGGCTGCCCCGCGGCCACAGCATACGAGTCGGCGCCGCTGGCCCACGTAGGAATCCCGCCCTGGGAGCTGCGTGGGCACCAGGAGAGGGCCCCCCAAACGAACATCCAAGGGATCGGCGTCGAGCGATGGGGGGGGGAGAGTGAGGAGCAGGCGGCCTGCTCCTGGGGCGGCGGGCTTCTCAGAAGCCCTTTGGCCTTCCGAGAAGCTCTCTTCGTCTTCGGGGAAGGCTCGAAAGACTTCTCGGAAGCCCTCTGGCCCTCCGAGCCTTCATATCAGGATGGAAAAAAAAAACACAGACACAATGAATCGTCGATTCCCCAGAAAATAGGGGAAAATATACAGGAAGTGGGGGGGAAGACTACCCCCCCCCCCAAAAAAAAATGGGGAATCTGTTTATTTGTGCGTGTTTGTTTGTGTGTCCTGGGGCCCCTTCAATATAGCAGGCTCGCCCCCTCTCGCTGCCCCCCCCCCCCCCATGGGCTCGCCGCCAAAGGGGGGCAGGGCCGCGAGAGGCCGCGGGAGCGGCGGCAGCCCGAGAGCGCCTCGGTGTTCTGGTCGAGGCGCCACGCGTCTGCAGCTACTGTCAGGTCGGGCCTGTCCCCCTACAGGGGGATTTTCGACGAAAAATTAAAAATACACCAAAAATAATCAAAAAATGAAAAATAGTCTGGGGACTATTTTTCATTTGTTGTTCTACCTTTGGGGGTATGTTGGGGGTACTTGTATATTTTTCGTCGAAAATCCCCCTGGGGGACAGGCCCGACTTGTAAGCTACTGCTCCCTGGGAGGCCCTGCCCCAGGGCAAAAGGGGGCCTTGAGCCGTGCAGACCCCGCCCTGGGACCCGTCCTGTCCCCTTGGCAGCCTCGCGCCGCGTATACAGATCGAGGCGACCAGCGATAACTGGGGGAGCTGTGGTCCTTACCCCCCTGGGGGAACCCATCGCATCGACGATCTCTCGAGAGGGGCGTCGAAGTCGATGGGTCCCCCAGGGGGATGGGGACCACAGCTCCCCCAATTGTGGCTGGCCTGATCGAGGCGGGAGACTGCTGAGCTGCGTGTGGCCTCTGCCCAAAGGGGGCCGTGAACAGAATCGACTCTGGATGGTGACCCGGTCGGTCCCCTGAGGCCTCGATCTCTCGGGGGCCACGCTGCGAACAAAAAACAAAAAAAACAAAAAACACGACGTCAGCCAGATGTCTGGGCACTCGGGGCCACATCTTTGAGCACCGTTCAATGAACGTTTTCTGATTCGGCGCTTCGACCTTGGGCGGAAGGGGGGGGGAAGAGGGGGGGAAGGGGGGCAAGGGGGGGGGACGGTTGCTCCGGACCTCTGCTCAGTGCGACTGTTCGGAACCGTGCATCCTCTGGGGGGGAGACGCCACCTGCTTGAGACGGGCGCCAAAAACAGCCAAGATATTTACTCCCTGGGGGGGGGGAGGGGGTGCGAGGGCCGCGCCGATCGACAAAGCAATGAGTCAGGAAACGCGCACTCAAACGATCCCCCTCCCCAATGACGTGGCCTGGGCCCCACTGGCCGATGGGCCCCCCCTGGATGGGGACGGGGTGATCCCCTCCAGGTTCGAGGCGCACATCCCCAGCTGGGGTGGAGATCGGAGAAAACAGTGCTGAACATTCTTTTATTCGCGGGTCGAGAGCGCACCTCTTCCGGTCGAAGCTAAGCGGGCCGCGCGAAGCTTGAATTAACCAGAGATGGGGGAGGAAAAGGGGGGTGCAGTCCTCAGAACGAGGCCGGGAGGAGGCAAAGCCTCGGAACCAGGCGGTGCCGTAGCCGACGCACTTGCAAAGGAGAAAGCAGTGCTGAACACTCAAGCCCCCGGCGAGCAGGCGGCCGTGGCAGCGCCTTCTTCCACTCCGCCGCGGTCATCGGCTGTGGCCTCTCGTCCTCGGGCTCCTCGCTTGGTTGGCGGGCAGGCGTGCACGGCCAGGGCACGGGGAGCAGACGCCCCCCGGGGCCGGAGGAGGCAGTGGCCACGCGGTCGGGCTGTGCTGAAACCTCCTCCTCCTCCTCCTCCTCCTCCTCCTCCTCCTCCTCCTCCTCCTACCAGAAGCGCTACACAGGGAGCGCAGCCCCTCTTCTGCTCCGGAGGAGCCTGGGTGCACGAAGAGGGCTACGGGAACGACCACGGAAGCAGAGGAACGAACGAACGATAACGTAAACATGAACCTTCGACGGTCCGCGCGGACTTCTTGGATGTGCGCTGGGCCCCCCTCCCTGGCGCGCTCCGCGCGCCAGGGGGCCCCAGCGCAGATTCAGTGAATCCGCGCGGAGCGTCGAAACTTTCTGCTTACTCCAGATTTCGTAATAAAGAGAGGGGGGTCTCATTTCGGGGGGGGGGTCTCTTCCAGGCTATCTTGGAGGGCCCGGGGGGGTCTGGGGACGATGTTTTGGAGGGTTCTCCCACGGGGGGGGGGGTCTGAAATGGCTTGTCTTGGAGGGTCCAGACCCCCTCCCTTTTATTACGAAATCTGGAGTAACCGCATGCCGATGATAATAAAGGGACCCCCCCTTCAGTGTTTAGAGTTGATTATCGTCGCCCTATACAAAATTCAAATTGGGCGGCGAGCGCTGAGGCCGAACTTCATTATCACCTCGAAACGCTATGTTGAGATAGCAACATCAAGCGATGTTGATATAGCAACATCAAGCGAAGCGATCACACTTTTTCAGGATGTGTCAAGCGAAACCAATAATTTTGGGAGGCAGACTCAAACGAAACGAGCAATGTTCTTATTATTATTATACTTTCCTCTTCTTCTTTTATATTTCTATCTGTCCTCACGCTCGCCTGAACTTTTTTATCCCTGGGGTTGATTATCCATGGAAAATGAAGCACATGAGCTACCCTACACGAGCACTTAAAGAAATCAATTGTCATAAAGCGTTTGTAAATTAAAATTGATAGATTTGGAACTTTGGATGTTTCCTTTCTTCGTCCTCTTCTTATTATCCTCTTCTTCTTTCTTATTATTATACTGTATTATTATTCTTTTATACTTCTCTCTGTCCCCACGCTCGCCTGAACTTTTTTATCTCTGGGGTTGATTATCCATGGAAATTGAGGCACATGAGCTACCCTACACGAGCACTTACAAAAAACAATTTTCATGAGAGATAAGCCATTGTTGAGGATATTTCTATGAAAACTAAACGCCAAGGATGTCTCAAAACGTGCTCGGCTTGGTCTCCTCTTGATCATCTCTTACTTCGAGATTATGCTGAGGTCTGCTGGGCTACTTTTATTATCTCTCCCTGAACCCCGAACTTTATTATACCCTAGTGTTTATTCTCACGGGCATGAGGTTACGTGTTTTTGTTCTCTCCCTCGAGGAAGGACCCCGGGAGCGGCGAGCCCCTTCCGGGCCCAAAGCGGGCCTGCTCTTGGCACCTCAACTGCGCGGGCATGCCCGGGCGCCACGGGGGCCCCAAGAAAGCTCCCCTGCGGCGTCGGTCGGCGGCGAACGGGGGGGGTAATGAGGAGAAGGCCTTCTCAGAAGGCGGCGGGGCTTCTCGGAAGCCCCCGCGTCTTCTGAGAGGTACTGTTGTGTCTTCGGGGGAGGCTTCGAAACCTTCTCAGGAGGCCGGGGAACTCCCAAAAACCTTCTGAGGCCGTTTCCTCCTCGCTTCCCCCCCTCGCTCGCCGCCGATGGGCGCCACGGGGACCCCAAGGAAGAGCCCCTGGGGCGTCGGCTCCCTCGGGGCGGCGGGGCGTGCGGCGGCGCGCCCCCCCGGGGGAGGCGGCGCGCGGGGGCGGCCTTTCTCCCCGAGGCGGCGGGGGGGGGGGGGCTTCGCAGAAGCGAGGGGGGACGTTTCGAAGCCCTCCCGCCTTCTGTGAAGCCTCCCTCCGACAAGCGCGCGGGTTTTTGTTTCGCCCCCGCGCGGGTTTTTCCACGCCAGCGCGCGGGTTGTTTCACTCCCGGGTTTTTTGTTCACCCCGCATTTTTCACCCCCGGGTTGTTTCACCCCCGGGTTTTGTTCACCCCCTGGGTTTTTGTTCCACCCCCAGACAAGCGCGCGGGTGTTTTTAACCCCCGCGCGAGTTTTTCCACGCCGGCGCGCGGGATGTTTCACCCCCGGTTTTTTTTTCACCCCCGCATTTTTCACCCCCGGGTTGTTTCACCCCCGGATTCTGTTCACCCCCGGGTTTATTTTTCCACCCCCAGACAAACGCGCTCCACTCCACGGCTCGCAACGTAGTAACAATGCTCGCAACGTGGCCTCGGCCCGCCGCGGGGGGTTCACGACATGTACTGCCTCGCGGCAAACAGAGAGTTTCGGACGTTTGCGAGTGGGCACGTTGCGAGTGCAGTCACGCCGTATCGAAAGGATGCGCGATAAGGATGCGGGGGCCTTGGACGCCCATCTCGAAGCTTTTCGAGCGGGGCGCGGCCAACGAAAGCGGCGAAGGATGGACCGCGGAGGCAAGGATGCAAGTATACCCTTGGGGATGTTGCCATCCTTACTATGCGGGTTAACTGTAATGGCGCGCGCTCAGTGATTCTGGGAAGCCCCCAGGGTCTCTTGAGATTCTGAAACGACCCACGTGCCTTCTCAGGAGGCCGCAAACCCCCTCGCGCCAACTCCACCTGTACAGTAGGAGCTCGACCACAAGAAATCATCCACGAGAAGCCCAACCCCGAGACCCCAGGACGTCCATTGAGACTTTTTGGTGTGGGAACGTCGCGCTCTCCATCGCAAAACCATCGACCCCCAAGGAACCCAGGGCACCCTGGAGGCAAATAGGGTGTCTCTTGGCATGGGTCTCCACCGTACAATCTCGAAGAAACCTCGGAGGTCCGCGCGGAGTTCTCGGCTCGGCGCCAGACCGTCCTGGCAGCACCTCCGGCGTGGATGGCGCGCTTGGCGCGCCAAGGGAGGGGGCCCAGCGCCGAGCCAGGAAGTCCGCGCGGACCGGAAAGCCGACATTGTGTGTGAAGTCCCCACCAGCCCCCTTGGCGTAGGTGGTCTGGGGAGGCTCAGCGTACAACCCCCTTCTTCCCCTTCGGGGAGGGATTCTATCCCTCCACATTGACAAAGTATGAACACTACTCGCCTCTCTCCCCTGATGACGTCCGGAAGATATCTGGCCCCCCATCCACGTACAAATTCATTCCCGGGAGTTGGGTTTTCGCTTGGGCCTTGTTTCAAAATGCTGCTCCCGCTGAAGCGCTGGCCTCATGTTCGGGCTTCCGCTCGTTCCGAATCGTGCTACCGCTGCAGCGCTGGCCTCATTTCCGCGCTTCCGCTCGTTCCGAATCGTGCTCCCGCTGCAGCGATGGCCTTCCTTCCAAGTAAGCCCCAAAATCTAAAAAATGCCCCCCCAAAAGACCATCGGAAGTGATTCGTTGATTTTTTGGGCCGCAGAAGCCCCCCCACTTTGGGGCGTCGTCACTTTCAGGAAGTATCAAGCGGGAGCCCCGTTTCTGCTTTGAGAAGGCGATGTTGAAAGCAGAGCCAGCGGGTGCCCTCCGTCAGCCCCGCCTTGCGTGGAGCTTTTCGGGGAGCCCAAGGAGCTAGACATGGAGCCACGACTCCAGACCGGCCCAGACCTCTCGAAGACGTTCCACTTACCCTCCAAGGAGCCTGGCGTCATGCCATGACATGCTGTGCGGTGTTGTGTTCTGCGCCGCTGTGCGATGCCATGCTTTGCGTTGCAATGCTTTGTGATGCAATGCCTCACTGCGCAATGCCACGCCATGCTATGGCATGCTACGCTCTGCCGTGCTCTTCTACGCCATGCCATGCCGTGCTCTACCATGCATCGCGTACCCTCTCGCGATCATTACCCTACCCGACATCCGACTGTGCGAATAGAAAGGATACCTACGCCATGGTAAGGGATGGAAGGGAGGGGTGGGAAGTCAGATATGACGCGAGCGCACCTAGCTTGCCCTACCCCCTCCCCCTGGACCTGGACGCAGGTGGTCGCGGGTAGTTGGAGCGTCCAAGATGGCCAAGGACGGCTCCAAGAGCGCCTCGAAAAGCCAAAGATAACCTCCACGAAGGCTCAAGATAGCGCAAGATGCCTCAAGATGGCTTTCAAGATTCTCCAAGAAGCCCCAAGGACGCTCCAAGACGGCTCTCAGAGGCCTCCGCGACCTCTAAGGAATCCCCCAGAGACCAAAATCCTTCAAACACCTTTAGGAAGCTCAGCAAGTGTTGCTTTCTCGCCCTCTCGCTTCTGGTGGCCATCCGAGGCCCGAGGATGGCCCCAAGATGGCCCAAGAGGACCCGGGAGAGGCCCAAGAGAGCCCCAAGGCGGCCCCAAGAGCGCCCGAAGAGCGCCCGAAGAGCGTTCCAAGAGTGGTCCAGGAAGCGATGCGAGGGGGGAAGCTAACTGGCGCGCCCCTCTTGTTTGATCGATGTCCTCCAAGATGGCCCCACAAGCGCCCCTAAAGCTCCGCGCAGGATGCACAGCAGCAAGATGCCTAAGTCTTGGCTGCTAAAGAAAAACAAAACAAAAAAAGCGCGCCGCCGAAAGGTAGGCGACGCTGGCACAAGTGGAAAAGTGTCAGCCGGTCGTGGCCGGTCGTGCCCCTAAAGCTCCCTAGAGCGCCCCAAGAGGGTCCTAAGAGGCGCCCAGATAGCCTCAAGAGGCGCCCAAGAGGCCTCCAAGAGACTACCAAGAGGCCCCCCAAAGGCCTCCACTGCATGCTCCTCCGCTTTCCTGACCAAGGCAGCTCGCCTCGGCATCATTTGTGGATGGGCTGGTGAGGATTCGCGAAGCGTCAAGAATTGTGGGTTACCGAACACTGTTCCACACAAGACACAACGGGAGACACAACCACATCGCGATTCAAAAAATCGCCATGCGAAACCACCGTCAACAACGCACGAGCAGACCTGCCATAGGCAAGCTCATGCAGCGGACCGTGGCCTGAACCGCAAGTCGGCACTGCGCTTGCGACAGGAGGAGGGAGGACAACGCAAGAGGCGAGGGAGGAGGAAGGGGAGACGATGAGGAGGAAGGAGGAGGGAGGAGGGAGGAGGAAGGGGAGAGAGAGGGAAGAAGGGGAAGAAGGGAAGGAGGGAGGAGGGAAGAAGGGAGGAAGGGAGGAAGGAGGAAGGAGGAAGGAGGAAGGAGGAAGGGGAGGAGGGAAGAAGGGAGGAGGGAGGAGGGAGGAGGAAGGGGAGACGAGGAGGGAGAGCGGGCAGCGCGGCTGCCGTGAACGGCTGCCTCGGGCCCTGGCCCACGCCAAGGCAAAAGCGCACCGGACACGAGGGAGGGGCCTTAGTCTCAGATCTGCCACCGAACGCGCGCGAAGCAGGCACGACTCGGGTCGGGCGAAAGGGGGGATAGCAAAGGGGGGGGTTGAGAATCAGCTCATGTAGCTGATTTTCCCCGCGCCTCCCGGCGCCGAAGGCGGCTATGTATCGAGGAATGGGCCACTCGGTGAGGCCGAAACCAGCTGCATGCAGCAGATTTCGTAACCCCCCCTTTCCCAAACCCCCCCTTTCGTCCAGCCCGAACGACACAGGGGGCCGAGATGCGGGCAGCTGCTGCTGCTGCTGCTGCTGCTGCTGCTGCTGCTGCTGCTGCTGCTGCTGCTGCTGCCGCCGCTGCTGCTGCTGCTGCTGCTGCTGCTGCTAGTCTTCGCACGTGCGTCGGTGGGCCCCTGGGAGGGCCAGAGGCGGCTAGGCAGCCCGACCTCGCCCTTCCAGGCACCCTTGGGAGCGACGGAACAGGACGGTGCTTGGCTGGATGGGCGGGGGGAGAGGAGGGGGGGAGGGGGAGAGAGGGAGGGGGGAGAGGAGGGAGGGAGGGAGGGAGGGAGGGAAGGAAGAAGGGATGGAGGGAAGGGGGGAGAGGAGGGATCGAGGGAGGGCGGGAGCTGAAGGCTCCTTGTCCTTGTTCGCCTCGAAATACTCGCGCGCCTTCACGAAGGCCTCCGAGGGGGGGGGCCGGGGCGCGCGGGGCCCCGAGCAGGGCACGGGGGCGCAGGGCAGCAGGGCCCGGCCGAAAAGCACAGGCTCGGCACGCAGCGGCGGGGCAAGCACCCTCTCTGCCTCTTGGCGGCGCGCACACGGGGGGGGCGGGGGCACAGTCAACCCGTGCATCGAGGACGCACGCTACTCTGCATGGGTTTTTCATGAACAACGAGGGGGGGGAGGGGATCACATTTTGCCTGATCCCGGGCGATCCCCAGGGGGGAGGCTATTTTTCGCCACCCCTTACGAGGATCGTGGCCCCGAAAGGGGGGCTACAATCGACTACTCCCTCTTCTGCCCCAAAAAGCCCCAAGAGCCTCCCAAGAGGCCCCAGGTGAGCCCAAGACGCCGCCAGGGAGCCCCAAGAGGCTCCCAAAAAGCCCCCAAGAGGCCCCAAAGAACGCTCCAGAGCCGGCGAAATGAGCGAAGCGACTAAATAAGAAATACTTACAAAATACTCCAAAGTGGTCAATCAATACTCAAAAAAGTAGTCCCCAGACTATTTTCCGACTGTTTTTTATATTCCTCCTGTAGAGGGACGGGCCCGACTTGACGATCGGCCGAAGGGAGCGGATGTAGGTTGCCCGTCCCTGGTTTTGCGGGTAGACCGTAGGGGGGAGGGGGAAGGTTTCTAGGAGGAGGCTGCTTCTCAGAAGGCGCCGGCCCTGCATCTGTAGACAAACTCGGCGGCGAGCGAAAGGAGGAAATGAGAAGGAGAAGGCCTTCTCAGAAGGCTCGGAAGTCCCACGGCCTTGTGAGAAGTTTTCGAAGCCTTCCCCGAAGAAGACAAAAAAACCTCTCAGAAGGCGCGGGGGCTTCTGAGAAGTCCCGCCACCTTCTGAGAAGGCCTTTTCCTTCTCATTTCCCCTCCTCGCTCGCCGCCGACAGACAAGACCCGCGCTTTCTGAGAGGCAGAAGTGTTTCTCCGAAAGCTTTCCCCCCTCCCCCTGTAAGGGAAACCAAAAGGCACCGATGCCGCTAAGACAGGATGTGGGCCCCTATCCCAAGCTTCGCCGGGTTTTCGAATGGACCAAACATTCAGGGCCCCACATACGACCGGGGGCGTCCATCCTCGATGCGGGCGCGTCCGGACAGCCCCCTGGGGATGCATCCCAGAGCCAGCTTCCTTTTCTGAGCGGATGATTTTTTCGTCGCAAAGTCGGGGAGCTGGGGGGGAAAATCGCCCGCGATGCTGGGCCTCGTTCTACGGCTGGCCTCCCACGTAGGGGAGACCAACAACAACAACAACAACAACAAAAAACAATACCGCTGCCCCCCGGGCCTCCTGCAGGGCGCATCATGATCAGACTTCCGAGGAGGAGGAGGAGGAGGAGGAAGAGGAGGAGGAGGAGGAAGAGGAGGAGGAGGAAAAAGAGGAGAGGAACAGGAGGAGGAGGAGGAACAGCAGGAGGAGGAGGAAAAGGAGGAGGAGGAGGACCAGGAGGAGGGCCTCTCAGGAGGCCCAAAGAGGAAACTAAGCGAAAAAACAGAATACGAACGAACGACCGTCATCGCCCGGAGGCGGCCCAGTGCTGGGCGACGACGGGCGCGCAGCGAGGCGCGCTGGCCCTCGGAGAGGGCCCAGGAAATACAATCACCAGCTCGGCAGTGAGTGCGCGAGCAGGAAGGGGGGAGAGCCCATAGTCGAATCGATAAGTCGGATCGGCGATCGAAATTAATCGGATCGGCGGAAATCGGCAGCCGAGTCGGGAAAAATCGGATCGGCGGAAAGCGGCAGGCTACTGTGCGTCCCATGAGAAGTCGGAATCCGAATCGGAATCCCAAGTCGAATCGAATCCGAATCGCGGGCCATCGAAATCGAATCGAATCGAATCGGAGGAGTCGAAATGAGCCCTGGAAGGGGGGAGGGGAGGCAAGAAGGGAACAGACAAAGCAATGATGTGAGAATGGATGGAAACCACTGGGAAACCACGAGACAAACGACGGGACAAAGCGGCGCGCCTCCTCACCGCCACGCGAGCTCCACGCACGAAAAAGTTCGTTTCGACCATAATTCTGCGCTTTGGGCTGCAGACACTCACGACTCCCGATGCCTCTCTTGAGCGAAAGGCATCAAGTCGTCCTCCCATCTGGAAAAAACGCCCAGGGCGCGAACGGGTCGGACAGGCAATCGTTCCTTCTGGACGATTCCTTCCCCATCTCTCCACTTGGTGGTCCGTCGGGCCCTCCAATCCGTAGTCATATTTGCAACCTTGCCTGCCCAGCGCCACTTTGCTTGTAAATACATCTTCCCCCGACATTGACATTTCGCTTGCTTGGCCCTGGTTTCTGCTATGTGTGTAGCTCGTTTGATCCAACTTGCTCAATCATTATCAGGTCGTCGTCCTGGGCACACAATTCGGCGTAACATCAGTATGTGTAGTCCGCAAGTGCCTCTTTTGCGCCACGGTGAGCTTCCACGACTCCGCCCACCACAAGACGGTCTTGAAAACAGTCGGCTGGAAAAGGCGGAGCCGTTTGATGTGCGACGTGTCGCGCTTCATTAGGATGTCCTTGAGACCGGAGAATATTGCCCATCCTGCTCTGAGGATGTGTTCGAGCGCCTGGTTTGCAGTCCCGCTCGGTGTGGCTGTCGTGCCAAGAACTTCGAAGCGGGCAGGAGGCGGCCTTTCGAGAGGGCGGCCGGTCGGGGGATCTAAGAAGACCGGGGGGCTTCCCAAAAGCGCCACCAACCAACGGCCACGTCGTGCTACCACGAGGAACGCCACATGAGGAACGAAGGATTTTTTCTGGCCACGGCTCAGGGTGAACGACAGAGGGCGCTAGCTCAGGAGGACACCGTTGACTTGAAAGCTGCGATACGTCGCCGATAGATCGGCGATTAGCCTTCCCAACGTAAGTCCCATCGGTGGCAAATGGGCCCAGGTCCCGATTTCGGCGGCGAGCGAGCGGGGGAAATGAGAAGAAGACCTTCTATGATAACGGCGGGACTTTTCAGAAGCCCTCGCGCCTTCTGAGGCTCTTTTCGTCTTCGGGGAAGGCTCAGAAAACTTCTCAGAAGGCTTGGGGACTTCCGAACCTTCTGAAAAGGCCCGCCCCTTCTCACTTCTCCCCCCCTCCTCCTCCTCCTCCTCCTCCTCCTCCTCCTCCTCCTCCTCCTCCTCCCCCTCCTCCTCCTCCTCCTCCTCATCATCCTCCTCCTCCTCCTCCTCCTCCTCCTCCTCCTCCTCCTCCTCCTCCTCCTCCTCCTCCTCCTCCTCCTCCTCCTCCTCCTCCTCCTCGTCGTTAATAACTCGGAAGTCCGCACGGATTCCTCGGATCGACGCTGGGATCTCCCAGCGGCACCTCCGGCGCCGACTCTTCGCGCTGCGCGCGCCATGGAGGGGGGTCCAGCGCCGATCCGAGAAATCCGCGCGGACCTCCGAGTTAGTACAGTCGAGGCGTTGACCTAAGGAACCCTAAATGAGGAACGAGGCTCCTTTTTCCCATAAGTTCAACCTCGATTCCCCATGGAAAACCTCAGGAACACGCGAGGCAAACTTTGAAACAATCAAGGAACACAGAGCCCCTCCCCAACGAAACGGGTTCCTTCTGCAGCGCCCCGACTGTATGTTCATGTCGTTATGTCATTGCTCGTTCCCCCATTCACACACCAGACACACTTTTTCAGTCGGCGGCGAGGCAGAAAGGCTGCACAAGCGGTAGAGCTAAACGGAGGCACCGAGAAGCGAATTGGCGAGCATGCTGGAGAAGGGAAATCACGGTCAGGGCGGCCGAGGAGCAACACACTACACACACACACACTTGATACGTTCCGACTGGTTGATCCAGCGCAACGAATTCTAGGGCGGGACACGCCTAGATCCATCACGGCCGGACCTAGGACAGAAGACCATGAGGCCCTCCGCCGGCCAAAACACCCCAAACCATCAGATCACCGAGGGTACCTTCCCCCAGGATGCACAAGAGCATCCGACGTTTAAACACGAAGATCATTAGTGCACCCTCTTCGAACCGACCTCAATCTTACACCTCGGTCCGACCGTACCACCAAGCCTCTGCCTGTGAATGGCCATGACATGGCTGACGCGTGCAGACAAAAACCGTACCAAAGCCCATGCACGGAGAAGATAGCGACACCCAGGCGCAAGAGCGGCCCGGCGACGCCACCGACCGTGACTCGCTCAAGAGCGCGAGCCCCGCGAAAAATCCCACCAGCCCTTTGGGCGTGAGTGGTTTAGCGAGCTCTCTCTGTTCTCAACCCCCCTTCTTCCCCTTCGGGGAGGGGTTTACCCCTCCCCCTACCCCCTCCCCCTGGACCTGGAGAGGGGGTCCGGCGGGTCGTCAGGGGGGTCAATTTCGACTCCTGGGAGGGCTAAAAAACGACACCCCTCACGAGGATTCTGCCCCCGACGGGGGGGCGCCGAAAAAACCCTCTCCTCTTCTGTGAAGCCAAAATCATTGATTCTACTACGGTTTCGGCCCCATTTTGGCCTCCTGAGGGGGCAGCGCTCCTCTTCCTTCATAGCAAAATCATTGATTTTACTAAGGTTTTGGGCTCATTTTGTCCTTCTCAGGGGGCAGCGCTCATTTGCGCTTCTGAGGAGGTCGCAAGAGGCCCCAAGCTGCCCCCAAGAGGCCCCCAGGAGGCTCCCAAGAGGCCTCCAAGAGGCCCCCAAGAGGCCCCCAAGAGGCCCCAAGAGGCCCCCAAGAGGCCCCCAAGAGGCCCCCAAGAGGCCCCAAGACGCCCCAAGAGGCCCCCAAGAGGCCCCCAAGAGGCCCCCAAGAGGCCCCCAAGAGGCCCCAAGAGGCTCCAAGAGGCCCCCAAGAGGCCCCACGAGGAGCCCGAACGACTCACACCAGGACGAGGGGCCCGAACGACTCACACCACGAAGAGCCCGAACGACTCACACCACAAGGAGGGGCCCGAACGACTCACACCAGGACGAGGCGCCCGAACGACTCACACCACGAGGAGCCCGAACGACTCACACCACGACGCGGGCCCCGAACGACTCACACCACGAGGAGCCCGAACGAGTCACACCAGGAGGAGGGGCCCGAACGACTCACACCAGGATGAGGGGCCCGAACAACTCACACCACGAGAAGCCCGAACGACTCACACCAGGACGAAGAGCCCGAACGACTCACACCACGAAGAGCCCGAACGACTCACACCAGGAAGAAGGGCCCGAACGACTCACACCAGGACGAGAAACCCCCAACGACTCAAATCACGAGGAGCGCTTTCTCTCCCTCCTCCTCCGCCTCGTCCTTCTCCCGCTCCCCCCACAAGGAGGATGTACAAGGAGGCGGGAGGAAGGAGGAACAGGGGAGATATGCGGGGCCAAGCGGACACACGCCTGAAAAACACGACTGTCGGCATGCTTCGCAAGAGTTGCTGCTGTGAGATGGGCTGGTGGGGATACGCGAAGCGTAAAGAATTATCCGAGCGAAGGGCCCAACCATATGCTGTTGTGAGTATCGCCGTTGTGGGTATCGGCTTCGGTGGATCTCTTTATGGGGTCACGCAGCGTGTAAAGGATGTGCCGAAATGGGGTGCGGACGCAGGCGGGCGCAGCCATTGGGGCATTCGATGGCGCTCCATGTGGGGCCACGAAAGGTGTGAGGGGTAGGCCGAAATGGAGCAGGGCCGCCACGCGAACGTCGCAATTGGGGCCTCCCGTGGAGTTCGCTATGGTACAACGAAACGCGTGAGGGGTATGCCTAAACGGGCGGGGGGGGCGCATGCGAACGTCACTGGGGCCTTCTCAGAAGTTCCGTATAGGGCCGCGCAAGGCGTGAGGGGTGTGCCGAAATTACGAAGGGAAACGCACGTGATCACAGCCAGTGGGGCCTTCGGTGGATCTCCTTTGGAGGCCATGAAACGCCGTGCCGGGTGGCGCGGGACGCGTGCGAACACCGCAACTGGGGCATTCGGTGGAGCTCCCTCTGGGGCCACGAAGCGCGGTACTGTGTGGCGCGCGGCACATATGGTCACAGCCACTGGAGCCTTCGGGGCGCTCCCTGTGGGGCCACGAAACGCCGCACTGGCTGGCGCGGGACGCACGTGGTTACAAACTCTGGGGCCTTCGGTGGATCTCCCTATGGGGCCACGGAACACTGTATTGGATGGCGCGGGACGCGTGTGGTCACAACCACTGGAGCATTCGGTGGAGCTCACAAAATTATCCCGGCAAAGCAACCTAACATCGATGTGTAGGAGCATATCTGGAAGCATTCCCCTTAAGATTCGGATGAGAATCCAGTTGTAGAATTCTGCTGTTCTCGCAGTCGTAGTCGCATTCGCGATGACAGTCGCAGTGGCAACGGCAGTCGCAGTCACAGCCTCAGCCTCAGCCTGCCTCAGCCTCAGCCTCAGCCTGCCTCAGCCTCAGCCTGCCTCAGCCTCAGCCTCAGCCTGCTTCAGCCTCAGCCTCAGTCTGCCTTCAGCCTCGGCCTCAGCCTCAGCCTGCCTCAGCCTCAGCCTGCATCAGCCTCAGCCTCAGCCTCAGCCTGCCTCAGCATCAGCCTGCCTCAGCCTCAGCCTCAGCCTGCCTCAGCCTCAGCCTCAGCCTGCTTCAGCCTCAGCCTCAGTCTGCCTTCAGCCTCGGCCTCAGCCTCAGCCTGCCTCAGCCTCAGCCTGCAGCCTCAGCCTCAGCCTCAGCATCAGCCTGCCTCAGCCTCAGCCTCAGCCTCAGCCTGCCTCAGCCTCAGCCTCAGCCTGCTTCAGCCTCAGCCTCAGTCTGCCTTCAGCCTCGGCCTCAGCCTCAGCCTGCCTCAGCCTCAGCCTGCATCAGCCTCAGCCTCAGCCTCAGCCTGCCTCAGCATCAGCCTGCCTCAGCCTCAGCCTCAGCCTGCCTCAGCCTCAGCCTCAGCCTGCTTCAGCCTCAGCCTCAGCCTGCCTTCAGCCTCGGCCTCCGCCTCAGCCTGCCTCAGCCTCAGCCTGCATCAGCCTCAGCCTCAGCCTCAGCCTCAGCCTCAGCCTCAGCCTGCCTCAGCCAGCCTGCCTCAGCCTCAGCCTCAGCCTGCCTCAGCCTCAGCCTCAGCCTCCTCAGCCTCAGCCAAAGCCTCAGTCTGCCTTCCTTGGCCTCAGCCTCAGCCTCAGCCTGCCTCAGCCTCAGCCTGCATCAGCCTCAGCCTCAGCCTCAGCCTGCCTCAGCATCAGCCTGCCTCAGCCTCAGCCTCAGCCTGCCTCAGCCTCAGCCTGCTTCAGCCTCAGCCTCAGTCTGCCTTCAGCCTCGGCCTCAGCCTCAGCCTGCCTCAGCCTCAGCCTGCCTCAGCCTCAGCATCAGCCTGCCTCAGCATTCAAAATGTGGCCCGGGAATGGAATTCTGGGAACTCGAAGAACACGAAGTGGCCTACAGTTGGCTCCGGGCATTCAAAATCATGCCCAGGAATGGAATTCTGGGAACTCGAAGATCACGAAGTGGCCTACAGTTGGCTCGGGCATTCAAAATGTGGCCCGGGAATGGAGTTCTGGGAACTCGAAGAGCACGAAGTGGCCTACAGTTGGCTCCGGGCATCCAAAATGTGGCCCGGGAATGGAGTTCTGGGAAGTCGAAGAGCACGAAGTGGCCTACAGTTGGCTCCGGGCATCCAAAATGTGGCCCGGGAATGGAGTTCTGGGAAATCGAAGAGCACGAAGTGGCCTACAGTTGGCTCCGGGCATCCAAAATGTGGCCCGGGAATGGAGTTCTGGGAAATCGAAAAGCACGAAGTGTGTGACTGTATGCGAAAAACGATCCCCCCCGGCAAACCCCAACGGCCCCCCAACGGCCCCCCAACGGCTGCCCAGACCCCCCTGTGGAGTAATGTGCTGCTCTCTTTTAAGTCTATTAGAAACCTATCAGTCTTCGCTGTTAGGTAAAAAGCCGTATTGGGTGGCGCGGGCCGCATGTGGTCACAGACACTGGGGCCTGCGGCGGAGCTCTCTATAGGGCCACGAAACGCCGTGCCGGGTGGCGCGGGACGCATGAGGTCACAGCCACTGGGGACTTCGGTGGAGCTCCCTCTGGGGCCACGAAACACCGTACTGGGTGGCGCGGGACGCGCCACTGGGGCCTTCGGTGGAGCTCACTGTGGGGCCACGAAACGCCGCACTGGGTGGCGTGAGACGCATGTTGTCACAACCACAGTGGCCTTCGGCGGAGCTCCTTTGTAGGGCCACGAAACGCGGTACTGGCCAGCGCGGGACGCATGAGGTCACAGACACTGGGGCCTTCGGTGGAGCTCCCTATGGGGCCACGAAACGCTGTCCCGGGTGACGCGGGACGCCTGTAGTCACAGACACTGGGGCCTTTAATGGGGTTCCCTGTGGGGCCACGAAACGCCGTACTGGGAAGCGCGGGACGCACGTTGTCACAGCCACTGTGGACTGCGGTGGATCTCCCTATGGAGCCACGAAACGCAGTACTGTCTGGCGCTGGGCGCATGCGAACGCCGCCACTGGAACATTCGGTGGGGCTCCCTGTGCGGCCACGAAACGCCGTGTTGGGCGGCGCGAAACGCACGTGGTTACAAACACTGGGGCCTTCGGTAGGGCTCCTTACGGGGCCACGAAACGCCGTACTGGGTGGCGCAGGACGCAAGTGGTCACAGCCTCTGGGGCTTTCCATGGAGCTCCATATGGAGCCACGAAACGCCGTACGGGGTGGCGCGGGACGCATGAGGTCACAGCCACTGGGGCCTTCGGTGGAGCTCCTCCCGATGGGCCCACGGAACACTGTACAGGGTGCGGGAACAGAGGCACGCATGGAAGGATGGGGAGGAGGGGCCAGCGGGTGGGAAGGAGACGCGGGGCGCTGTCTCTTCAAAACGAAGACCCAACACCACAGGACGGTTGGGAAAAAACAAGTGTCGACTGCTTCGGCGAGGACGTGCCCAACTGTGAAGGCAGAGGGCCGAGGCGTGGCCAACCTGGTGGGCAACCCAATAGACAACACACACACACAGACAAACAAACAAACAAACAAACAAACAAACACAGAAACATACATACATATACACACACACACTTGGGGGGGCGTCGCGCTCCTGCGCACAGCGACAGGGCGTAGAAGGTCGGATAACACTGACAGCGCACACGCGTCTAAGCCCGCCCGAGCACTCAGAGACCACGTAGGGTCTCGCAGCCGCCGGCAGCCATGACCATGCCGGCATGGATGGCAGGGAGGAGCAGTGGAAGCATGAGACTGCGGTGAGCTGGAAGGTGCGAGAAGCCAACCGACACACACACACACACACATCGCACATAGCGCCAAGACTCCACCGTTTGGGGACCAGGCGCCCTCCCCACTTCTGAGGCGGGCCGACCGCCCGAAACGCTTCTCGGGAGGCGCGAAGGCTCCTGAGAAACCCCGCCGCCTGCTGAGAGGGCCTGGCCCCAGTTCCCCCCTGGCCCTGGGCTCCCCGCCGACTGAAGGCCCCCTTCACCCACCCTCCCAACCCCGAGGCTGGCCTCGGCGGTCCCTTTTGGGCCGAGTTTCTCCACCATCGACTCCACGTCGTCGAACTCCTCCCCCACGCCGCGCATGTCGACGGGCACCATCATCTGGCATAGGCGCCCCCCCACAGAGTACGATAGGACAGAATTTCAGAGGAGGAGGGGGGAGGTCCGTTGGTCCTTGACAAATGGCCTGAGCTCCGTTGGTCCTGACAGTCCCGAGCAGCAAGCATCCCCCTCACCCCAACTACACATACAACACGTGTGGCCAGCATCGCGAGCTTCAACGAGAAGACATCAGCTCCCTGTATAGACCAGAATGCGTCCCTGCAAGAGCCACGGCTAATATTCCTCCAAGTGGCACCACGAACCAAATATCTGATATCATCAAATGTGCTACACACGCTGGAAAGTTCTGCATTCAACACGCAACGGCCGCCGTGACCTTGGCTCTAAGAAGCACCAACCAAATCTGCATGTAGGTTTCCTACAATATCCAATTGGAAAGATCCAATCAAAAACAAATCCCCGGACAGCCCCGTGGACAACCCTGACAACCCGTGCTGATCCATGACGACAAGACGACCTCCCCTGGACGACCCCTTGGACAACCCAGCGGGCATCCGGAGAAACCCCTGGACAACGCCGCTTGGACAAGCATCCCCGGGATTTCTCTTTCGTAAGATATAGTAACGTCGAGTATCGAGCCACACGCTGCACGATGCCTCCCTATGGGGCCACCAAACGCTGTGCTGGGTGTATGAAAATGCCAAATTAGGTTTTCGGGATGCACTCGGACGGTCCGGTCCGACTGGGGGCTTCGGTGGAGCTCCCTATGGGGCCACCAAACGCTGCACCAGAACGGCGAAAATGCCAAATTGCGCGTGTGGGACGCATGCGGGCGGTCCCACTGGGGGCTTCGGTGGAGCTCCCTATGAGGCCACGAAACGCTGTACTGGGTGAGTGAAAATCCCAAATCGTGGACACCGCCACTGGGGCCTTGGGTGGACCTCCCAATGGGTCCACGAAACGCGGTGCTGGATGGGGGAGATGCAGGTGGACACCGCCACTGGGACCTTGGGTGGACCTCCCTATGGGTCCACGAAACGCCGTGCTGGGTGGGGGAGACGCATGTGGACGCAGCCACTGGGGCCTTGGGTGGACATCCCTATGGGGCCACGAAACGCCGTGGTGGGTGGGGGAGACGCATGTGGACACCGCCACTGGGGCCTTGGGTGGACCTCCCTATGGGGCCACGAAACGCCGGGCTGGGCGGGGAGACGCATGTGGACACCGCCACTGGGGCCTTGGGTGGACCTCCCTATGGGTCCACGAAACGCCGTGCTGGGTAGGGGGCACGCATGTGGACATCGCCACGGGGGCCTTAGGTGGACGTCCCTATGGGTACACGAAACGCCGTGGTGGGTGAGGGAGACGCCTGTGGACACCGCCACTGGGACCTTGGGTAACCTCCCTATGGGGCCACGAAACGCCGTGCTAGGTTGGTGGGACGCAAGTGGACACCGCCACTGGGACCTCGCGTGGACCTCCCTATGGGTCCACGAAGCGCCGTGGGTGGGGGAGACGCATGTGGACACCGCCACTGTGGCCTGGAGTCCTCCGTATGGGGCCACGAAACGCCGTGCTGGGTGGGGGAAACGCATGTGGACACACGAAACGCCGGGCTGGGCGGGGAGACGCATGTGGACACCGCCACTGGGGCCTTGGGTGGATTTCCCTATGGGTCCACGAAACGCGGTACTGGGTGGGGGACACGCGTGTGGACGTCGCAAGGGGGGCCTTGGGTGGACCTCCCTATAGGGCCACGAAACGCCGTGGTGGGTCAGGGGGACGCATGTGGACACCGCCACTGGGGCCTTGGGTGGGCCTCCCTATGGGGCAACGAAACGCCATGCTGGGTAGGGGGAGACGCATGTGGACACCGCCACTGGGACCTTGGGTAAACCTCCCTATGGGGGCACGAAACGCCGTGCTAGGTTGGTGAGACGCACGTGGGCACCGCCACTGGGACCCCGGATGGACCTCCCTATGGGGCCACGAAACGCCATGGGTGGGGGAGACGCATGTGGACACCGCCACTGTGGCCTGGGGTCTTCCCTGTGGGGCCACGAAGCGCCGTGGTCGGTGGGGGAGACGCACCGCCACTGGGGCCTTGGGTGGACCTCCTTATGGGTACACGAAGCGCCGTAGTGGGCGGGGAAGACGCACATGGACACCGCCACTGGGGCCTTGGGTGACCTCCCTCTGATGATGTTGATCATGATGATGACGACGACGACGAGGACATGCGCAGGGCAGAGGCAGGGAAGGAAGGAAGGAGGGAAGGAGGGATGAAGGAGGGAACGCGGGGACTGTCTCTCCAAAACGAAGACCCAACACCACAGGATGGTTGGGAATTACGCGACCGAGGAGACCCACATACTTATAGAATGGTTGGAGTGATGATAGCTGAAGTGAAGCATGTGAGAATGATGTTGGTGGTCGTTGCCCCGCCGATACCGTTGTGCTCCAGACGACCGTCACGGGTAGCGGCCGCGGTGAGAGACCACCCGCTGCGCCCCCCCCCTATGGTGTCGAGAAAGTGCAGCGCGTGCCACGCTGTCCGACCCTGGCACGCATAGAGGCCGCGCTGAAGGACCACCCCCCGCGCACCCCCTTCTGGTGGCGAGAAAGTGCCACTCCTGCCACGCTTTCCGACCCTGGCACGCATAGGGGCCGCGCAGAAGGGCCACCCGCTGCGCACCCCTCTGGTGCCGAGAAAATGTTACGCTTGCCGCGCTGTCCGACCCTGGCACGCATAGAGGCCGCACTGAGGGACCACCCCCCGCGCACCCCCCCGGGTGGCGACAAAATGCCACGCCTGACACGCTTTCCGACCCTGGCACGCATAGGGGCCGCGCTGAGGGACCACCCCCTTGCGCACCCTCTCTGGTGGCGAGAAAATGCAAAGCCTGCCTGCCACGCTGTCCGACCCTGGCACGCATAGAGGCCGCGCTGAGGGACCACCCCCGCGCACCCCCTTCTGGTGGCGAGAAAGTGTCACGCCTGCCACGCTTCCCGACCCTGGCACGCATAGGGGCCGCGCTGAGGGACCACCCGCTGCGCACCCCTCTGGTGCCGAGAAAGTGTTACGCTTGCCGCGCTGTCCGACCCTGGCACGCACAGAGGCCGCGCTGAGGGACCACCCCCCGCGCACCCCCTCTGGTGGCGACAAAGTGCAACGCCTGCCACGCTTTCCGACCCTGGCACGCATAGGGGCCGCGCTGAGGGACCACCCCATGCGCACCCCCTCTGGTGGCGAGAAAATGCAAAGCCTGCCTGCCACGCTGTCCGACCCTGGCACGCATAGAGGCCGCGCTGAGGGACCACCCCCCGCGCACCCCCTTCTGGTGGCGAGAAAGTGCCACTCCTGCCACGCTTCCCGACCCTGGCACGCATAGGGGCCGCGCTGAGGGGCCACCCGCTGCGCACCCCTCTGGCGCCGAGAAGGTGTTACGCCTGCCACGCTTTCCGACCCTGGCACGCATAGGGGCCGCGCTGAGGGACCACCCCCTGCGCACCCCCTCTGGTGGCGAGAAAATGCAAAGCCTGCCTGCCATGCTGTCCGACCCTGGCACGCATAGAGGCCGCGCTGAGGGACCACCCCCCGCGCACCCCCTTCTGGTGGCGAGAAAGTGCCACTCCTGCCACGCTTCCCGACCCTGGCACGCATAGAGGCCGCGCTGAGGGACCACCCCCTGCGCACCCCTCTGGCGCCGAGAAAGTGTTCCGCTTGCCACGCTGTCCGACCCTGGCACGCACAGAGGCCGCGCTGGTGGCGGGGCCACCCCCCCACGCGACACACCCCTGACTGGTGGCGCCGCGCTGTCCGACAAAGTGCCACGCCTGCGAGACGCTTTCCGACCCTGGCACGCATAGAGGCCGCGCTGAGGACCACCCCCCCGCGCACCCCCTCTGGTGGCGACAAAGTGCCACGCCTGCCACGCTTTCCGACCCTGGCACACATAGGGGCCGCGCTGAGGGACCACCCCCTGCGCACCCCCTCTGGCGGCGGGAAAAGGCAAAGCCTGCCTGCCACCTCTCCGACCCTGGCACGCACAGAGGCTGCGCTGAGGGACCACCCCCCGCGCACCCCCTCTGGTGGCGACAGAGTGCCACGCCTGCCACGCTTTCCGACCCTGGCACGCATAGGGGCCGCGCTGAGGGACCACCCCCTGCGCACCCCCTCTGGTGGCGCGAAAACGCAACCCTTGCCACGCTGTCCGACCCTGGCACGCATAGAGGCCGCGCTGAGGGACCACCCCCCGCGCACCCCCTCTGGTGGCGACAAAGTGCCACGCCTGCCACGCTTTCCGACCCGGGCACGCATATAATAGGGGCCGCGCTGAGGGACCGCTCTCTAAGCTCCCCCTCTGGTGTGGAATAAATGCCACACGTGCAACACTTTCCGACCCTGGCACGCATAGGGCCGCGCTGACGGACCACTCTCTGCGCACCCCTTTGGCGTACAGAAAATGCAACGCCCGCCACGCTTCCCGACCCTGGCACGCATAGGGGCCGCGCCGAGGGACCACCCCCTGCGCACACAGTCTGGTGTCGAGAAAGTGCAACGCCTGCCACGCTTCCCGACCCTGGCACGCATAGAAGCCGCGCTGAGGGACCACCCCTTGCGCACCCCCCTCGGTGGCGGCAACATGGCACGCCTGCCACACGTTCCGACCCTGGCACGCATAGAGGCCGTGCTGAGGGGCCACCCTTTGCGCCCACCTCTGGTGTCGAGAAAGTGCCGCGCCTCTTATTGTCGCGCATGTGTTGCGTGGTGTGCGTGTCAGGTGTATGGTGCGTGTGCGGCTGTATGCTAGCGTGCGTCCCATGTGGATGATGCTTGTGCGGCCGTATCGGGACGTGTGTCTCATGTGTGGGCCTGTACGCTGAGGGACCACCCCTGCGCACCTCCTCCGAAGTCGAGAAAATGCCACACCTGCGAGGCCCTGCCACAGTGGCGCGTATAGAGACCGCGCTGAGGGACCACCCCCTGCGCGCCCCCTCTGGTGTCGAGAAAGCAGCTGTGCTGTGCTGAGCTGTGCTGTGCTGAGCTGAGCTGTGCTGAGCAGCGCTGTGCTGTGCTGTGTACGTGCTGCGTGTCAATGTGCTGTGTGTTGTGCTGTGCTGTGCTGTACTGAGCTGTGCTGTGCTGTGCTGTGCTGCGTTGTGCTGCGCTGTGCTGTGTGAGAAGGAGAAGGAGAGCAAGAGGGAGGTGAGTGAGCGTCGCGAGTGCGACGCGGCAGGGAAGAAAACCAGAACCCCACTAAACATATGGGAAAAAACACGATGGTCACTGGACGGGGGAACCAACAATAGTTATTATCCGATAGTGAGAGCTAGTTCGGCATCAACGACAATAATAATAGCAATAACAACAACCACAACACCGACAACAACAACAACAACAACAAAAGCAACCACAACAAGAAACACATTAAGACTGTTGGCTCTTACTGGCACGCGTGTCTTGCATTCCGTATACCCCAGCCCTCGATACCCGCCCACTTCGTCTTGGATTGCACCCCCTTTTCGGAGGGAATATCCTCCTTGTCGGCCACTGACTAAAGTGCAACAACAACAACAATAATTTTAAGACTGTTCGCTCCTATCTGCTCTCGTGCCAATCAATACGTATATCCCACACCCTCGATGCCCGCCCTCGTCGTCTTCGATCGTACCCCCTTGGGGGTATATCTTCCTTACCTGCCACGTGTATTTAGCGCAGCCCCTAAAACAAGGGAAGAGAGGACGGGTGAAAGGGGGAGGGGGAAGAATGGAGTACGATAGAAATTAGCAGGAGTGGCGCAAGGAGCAGAAAACAAGTGGTAGAACCAGACGGGCAGATCGGGTGGGCAGACCCACAGTGGGCAGGTCGGAAGGCGGGCCCAGGCGACGAGGTCGAGCAGGCGGGTTGCTGAAGCGTGGGTCCTGCATGAATCGCGAGGATCTCTCGAGCGATCGCGCGATTCCCAAGTAAATCGTAAGAAAAGCAAGCGTGGGCCACGAAGGGCATAAAATCCGAGGCCACAGAGGGCAGCGACGGGGCCGCTGAGGGCAGCACCGGGGCCACGAAGGGCAGCGAGGGGGCCACACAAGGCGACAGCGGGGCTACGAAGGGCATGCGTATGGGGCCACGACGGGCGCGAGCGAGCGGGAGCCACGAAGGGCATTCATACATATACCACCACCCTTCGGGTGATAAAGAGGTTGTGGGGGGAGAGGGGGGGGGACCTCGGTCTCACTATCGATCTCATTATTGATCTCACTCAACAAGACACCATGGGGCACTACGGGACACCCCGGGACACCACGGGACACCTCCGGGCACCACATCGATCTCACTAACGATCTCACGATCGATCTCATTCAAGGGGACACCACGGGGCACCACGGGACACCACGGGACACCTGTCGATCTCAGTATCGATCTCACTATCGATCTCACTCAACGGGACACCACGGGACACCACGGGGCACCACATCGATCTCAATATCAATCTCAGTATCGATCTCACTATCGATCTCACTCAACGGGACACCACGGAACACCACAGGACACCACGGGACACCTGTCGATCTCACTACCGATCTCACGCAACGGGACACCACGGGACACCTCGGGGCACCACATCGATCTCAGTATCGATCTCAGTATCGATCTCACTATCGATCTCACTATCCATCTCACTCAACGGGACACCACGGGACACCACGGGACACCACGGGACACCGCGGGACACCGCGAGCCACCGCTTGACGGACGGACGGACGGGCGGGCGGGGGAGAATCATTTGTCTTGACTTCGCCCTAGCAACGGCGGACACCACGGGACACCGCGGGACACCGCGGGCCACCGCTGGACGGGCGGGAGAGGGGGAGAATCATTTGTCTTGACTTCGCCCTAGCAACGGTGGACACCACAGGACACCACGGGACACCACGGGACACCGCGGGACACCGCGGGCCAACGCCGGACGGGCGGGAGGGGGAGGATTAGCCCTAGCAACGGCGGGTTCACTCCTCTCGCGCGCCTACGCAGCTTCGCCTCGCCCGCACGCACGACACGAACGAAACGAAACGATTTCCCGGCTGGGGGTCTCCGTTCCACTGCGACCTCACCCCCCAACCTCCGATACGGGGCCACAAAGGGCGACAGCGGGGCCACTGAGGGCAGCACCGGGGCCACGAAGGGCAGCGAGGGGTCCACGAAGGGCGACAGCAGGGCTACGAAGGGCATGCGTATGGGGCCACGACGGGCGCGTGCGAGCGGGGGCCACGAGGGGCATGTAATGCGGGGCCGCAAAGGGCAGCGACGGGGCCACGAAGGGCAGCGAGCGAAGGCGACCGCGGAACCAGTACGGGCAGCGAGGGGCATCGAAGGCGGGCGAAGGGCAGCGAGCGGGGACTTCAGTCATTAACGGGCTGGTCGGGCGGGCAGGCCCCAACGGGCGGGTCGAGCGGGCGGGTCGTTGAAGCGTGAGTCCTGCTTGAACCGTCAGGCAGTATGTAGCGGGAGCGCGATTCCTAAGTGTCGAGGACCGGCATCTGAATAAAGTGTAAGGAAATAGCAAGCGAAGCGGTTCGGTGGTAAGTTGCAAAGAAATCCCAAGCGAGAACGCGATTCTGCAATTAAATTGTCAGGAAGTATCAGGCGGGAGCCGCGATTCGGTGGTAAATTGCCAGGAAGTCCCAAGCGAGAGCGCGATTCTTCAATAAACTGTGAGAAAGTATCAGGCGGGAGCCATTGTTGTTGCAAACCGGGGGCCAACAACACAGTTTGACCCTCAAGACTTTCCCTGATAAAAAACAGCGTGCGAGCCCCGGGAGGGGCACTTCAATCGACAAAAAATATAATGTGCACTGGCGGGGGGGATCAACAATAATTCTTCTTTAAAAATGAGAGTTCAACAACAACAACAACAACAACAACAACAACAACAGCAACAACAACAAAAACGACAACGACAACGACAACAACAACAACAACAACAACAACAACAACAACAACAACAACAACAACTACTACTACTACTACTACTATTACAACAGCCACAACAACAACAACAACAACAACAACAACATTAACAACAACAACAACAACAACAACAACAACAACAACAACAACAGCAACAACATTATCAACAACAGCAGCAACAACAACAGCCACAACAACAACAACAACAACAACCATGACAGCAACAACAACAACCGCAACAACCACAACCACAACTACAACCACAACATTTTCATCTTTTCGGCCTCAGCAGCGCGCAAGGCTGCCCAAGAGAGGGCTGGCGTGGAGTGCGCCAGCCTCGGGCGGCGATGCGGCCAGGCGAAAAGCCTCCCCGCTCACCACAAGAGGAATCAATAGGGGCGCGCAAACATGGATTAGCGATCCATGGGTTTGGCGTGCGCTCGCCAAATCGATGGATCGGGAGAGGTGCCCTCCCCAAAATGCGGCCAGTGCCGCATCGTTCGGCGACGGGACCCGTCGCTAATACACGCCCCCTTGATCAATGTTTGCGATCGCCTGACAAGAGCGGCGCTCGCACGAGCGCGCGTCTCGCGCTGCGTGTTCAGCGAACGCGCGGGTGCGTCAGCGCACTGCACCGCTGAGCTTCGAGTAGAGGATCAGCTGCAGAATTGATGTACCCCCAAATTGACGTGTTCATGGAACCCATGAGAAATTCGTAAAATGCTCGTAGATCTAGGAACATTCGACGCATGACTCGACGAGAAGCTCAATTGTGAGGTAAATTGGTGTTGTAGTCGATCCCCTACTCGTGAACTGTGACATGTCCAGCGGTCAGGTTGCAGGGGCAGACGAAACTATTCGCTGGCGCACATCCCTGGCCTCCTCGTCTGCCAGCTTCTCTGGGAACGTGAGCTCGTTCACGAGATCCTGGGACACCTCTCCCCCTGCCTTGAGCTTCTCTTTGAGGCTCTCAAGCGCTTTCTTGCAGACGTAGAAGATGTCCTAGCCGGCAGAGAACATGCCTCTGCGATGGGTCCACGACTGCGCCCTCCCAGTCCATACAGCCAGTAGGTACTCACTGGGTGAGACAAAACAAACGTGCCACAATGGCGAAAGAAAGAGACAGCCACACCATGCCCCCCCTGGTGCAAGAATGCGTCGCACCTGCAGGACTTAGCTTAGCACGTTGTTCACAACTGATGATTACGTGAACTAACACTTACCAATGTTTCGTGACAAGGTTCCGAGGCGAGTTTCCAGGAAATGTAGGCAGACGCATCCCATACATACTGGCACTCGCATGGAAGTCTCCGCAAGAAGTCACACTTCGCCAAACATGATATCTGGCGGTTGCTTCCGCGCATAACGCTCAATTTCCACCAAGGCAGTGAACACACCAAACATGAACGATGAATGCACTGCGTATGCTATATCTATATATATGCATGTATCTACGCATACATATATATATATATATGTAAATGTATACAGCGGTACGACCCCACTGTCGGATCTCTTGACGTTGGGAAGAGCGCAAGAGCGCAACACAATTCGGACCCAACGCGCACGCGTGCCTGCGTTTGGCCTCCGCACCAAAACACGGAACCCAGGCGGCCGTTTGGGACCACTCCGGCATCCCCAGAACGCTCCCGACGAGGAGCACCCGTGGAAAAAAACACCCCGGGGCCCCGAGACCTCCACTAAAAACGAAGCTCTCTTAAAAAAACGGGTGACGCGCCCCCCGAACTCCTGCGACATCATGTGCTCCAGCCCTGGAGGCGAGCCACCGCCTGCCAGCTCCGGGAGGCCCGTTCTTCTGCAAGACTCCGGCGCGGCGCGCTCGCACACGGAGGGGGCGAGGCGAGGGGCGGGCGCGGCGAGGGGCCCGAAGAGACATCTGGACTCCACGCAAGTCGGGGCGCACCTGCGCACCTTTTTTCGCCCCGACGCTGGGATCGCGCGGGTGGTACTGGGTGGGGGGACCTGAACGGGAGGAATCGGGGAAGGAGCCCTCGAGGGCTCCTCTTTGGGCCCCTGCTGGCTCCACAAGGAGCCCTCAAGGGCCCCTTTGGGGCCCCTCCCTTCACCCACCATTTCAGCCACCCCTCATTTAGCATTAGGTCGGGCAAGTCCTCCTACAGGCAGACTTTGGAAGCAATGCCAAAAATAGTCAACACATACTCACACATGATAGAAAAATCGTCATTGCACGATCTTGTTAGTATTACTGATTACTCTTCCTGTACGAGGGACATGCCCGACTTCACATCACCACCCGCCCGAGGGGAGGGGGAAGGGGGGGAGGGGGCGGGCAATGCCGTGCAAGGGGGCCTGCCTGAGTCCACCGTGAGACGCCCTGTGGACGAGGCCAGGCCCCGGGCGTGCGCGCGTGCCCCCGTCCCGCGTGTTCCCCCCACCCACCCCCGCCCGCAGACCCCCGACGTGGAGCCCCCAAAGGTCTCGACCCAAAACGTGACGACATGTGGGAAACAAGTTCGGCGCTTCGCGCGGATCTCTTGGCTCGGCGCTGGGGACCCTCCTCCCTGACGCGCGGAGGGCGCGCCGGAGGCGAATCCCCGCCCTCGCAGCCTGGAGTCCACGGTGCGATCCCGCGGATAAGCGGTCGCACGGCTACGTTCCGTCCGAGGAGGAGGAGGAGGAGGAGGAGGAGGAGGAGGAGGAGGAGGGGGCATCCGCGGAAGAGCGCCCCGCATCCGCGGGATCGCGGCCCAGCGGCATGGCGCGCGAGGCCGCGGACGCGGACACGTCTCTCGCCCACGAGACAGGCTTTGGCATCCCGAATCGTTTCCTGGTGGTCCTGGAACCCCCAAAGACGCCAAGAACCGCCAACAAACTCCCGCCGTGAGCTCTTCGCGGCCCGATCGCGTCAGAGCCGAAGATGCAACGCCCTCTGGGCGATGTCGCCCCCCGCACGCCCGCGGGAGCCCCCGACCGCGCCTGTCCACGCCCCCCGCGGGGGGCCCGAGTCCTGTCCGTCGGGCAGGTCGGCCTGGTCGTTCTCGGCGACCTGCCGGCTCCTCCTCCTCCTCCTCCCTTTTCCTCCTCCTCCTCCTCGTTTTCGTTTTCAATACCCTCCTCCTCCTCCTCCTCCCTTTTCCTCCTCCTCCTCCTCCTCCTCCTCCTTTTCCTCCTCGTTTTCGATTTCAATACCCTCCTCCTCCTCCTCCTCCTCCTCCTTTTCCTCCTCGTTTTCGATTCAATACTCCCTCCTCCTCCTCCTCCTCCTCCTCCTCCTCGCTCTCTATTTCGAAATGCTGATAATCCTCCTCCTCCTCCTCCTCCTGATAATCCTCCTCCTCCTCCTCCTCCTCCTCCTCCTCCTCCTCCTCCTCCTTATCCTTTTCCTCCTCCTCGTTGTCGTTATCGTTCTCGCTCGGGCTATCAACAATAGAGTCCTCCTCCTCCTTTCCCTCCTCCGACTCTTCATGTTCGTTGTATGTGTATTGATATTATTACGTTTATGTGTATGATTGAGAGTCATAGCATGTGCCTTATTTATTTGATAAATATGAGTTGTAGTCGTCTTATTTCGTGATCGTAGTATTACCCTTATTGGTAAAAGTATTAGTATGCTTAGTAGTTTTCGTTGTAGTATGCTGCGTATCATCCTTATGGTTCATAATGACAGTTAGAATGTTACTCGTATCATTCTTACTCGTTTTCTCATTATTGGCAATACTATGAGTATAAAGTGTGCGATTCGTATTGTTATTCCTCCTCCTCCTCCTCCTCCTCCTCCTTTTCTTCCTCCTCCTCTTCCTCCCCTCCTCCTCCGCCTCCTCCTCCTCCTCCTCCCCCCCTCTCATCCTCGTCCTCCTGCTCGACCTCGTTTCGATATCCTTCTCCCCTCCTCCTCCTCCTCCTCTTCCTCCTCCTCCTCCTCCTCCTCCTCCCTCCTCCTCCTCCTCCTCCTCCCCTCATGCTCCCCCTCCTCCTCCCTCCTCCTCTCCTCCTCTCCTCCTCCTCCTCCTCCTCCTCTCTCTCCTCCTCCTCCTCCTCCTCCTCCTCCTCCTCCTCCTCCTCTTCATTCCTCCTCCTCTTCATTCCTCCTCCTCCTCCTCCTCCTTCGTTGTTCCGGAATGCGCGCGCACTTGCGGACCTTCCACCGCTGTGATCGTGCTGCAACAGCAAACTGGGGGAAGTTCTCTCTCTCACACACACACAAACACACACACACACACGAGCAACAATGTATATATGCAATGTATACACACGAACGACAATATTCAACACGAAGATATCAGGGAGTGCGTGGGAGAAAAGGAAAGGGAGAGAGTGAAAGGGAGAGAGTGTAAGAGAGAGAGAGAGAGAGAAAGAACCAACGCACGAACGAACGAACGGCCGAAGACACGATTTTGCTGCACATGAACCCTTCCGAAGCGGGAACGGGCATATGTTTTCCTGGACCTCGGGGGGGGAAACACGGGTGCACTCGGGCCACCTCCTCATTGCCATCCTGTCCCTCCGCGTCTTCATCCGCCTTCTCACTGCCAAGTATGTTCCTTCTTCTCTGGCGGTCCAGGCGCGGTCTGTCGCGCGGAAGTACACCCTGAGCTCTCTCCCCCCCGAACCAAACGATCCAGACGCGCCAGCAGCGCAGCAGGACCACGTGCGCCTAGCGCCCAGCCCGCGCCGCCAAGCCGGCTGCCCGGCCACCTAAGCCGCCAGCGCGACGTGGGCACCGAGCTCACGCTCCCGGGCGAAGGAGCTGCGCAGCTGCCACGCTGTGGCGCGGCGCAACGCACAGCTCAGCTCCGCACCCCAATTGCGTGCTCGCGGCCGCCTCGGCCCTGGGGCCGTCGCCCAGGCCGTGCGCGCGGCCCGACAAATGGCGCAGCGCCCCTCTCCCCAGACAGCCCGCCGTCTCGTGGGCCAGGGGCAGAACTGGCCAGTGCAGTGGGCCGGGGGCAAGACTGGCCACGTGGGCCAGGACGCTGTGGCGGACAGCGACGTCCGCAAGCGCCCCGGGGCAGTCGCCGTGCGGCGCCCCGAGGCCGAGGAGCGCCCCCTCGCGCTCGACCTCGAGCGGGCCCCCGCAGGCGCTGCAAGGACCGCCCAGCGGCGCAACCACGTGACCGTACGCGGCGCAACTGGCCACGGTGCAGCGCCAGCGCCGCCGATCCCAGGCTGGGACCAGGTCACTACTCGCTAATCCCAACGCCCTACTCGCTACCCAATGCGCACCATTCACTGCCCACTACTCACTACTACTCACTACGCTCCCACGACTCACGACTCATTACCTCCCACTCCCTACTCAATACTCCCAACGCACTACTTTCTACTCACTACCCAGTAGTCAATACTCACTACTCACTAAGCACTACTCACTGCCCACTACTTACTACTCACTAAGCACTACTCACTACCCACGAAACACGATCCACTATTTGCTATTGAATACTCACGATGCACTCCTCACTACGACCTGCCCACAACACACAAGTCACTATCCGCTGCTCGCTACCCAATACGACGTATTCACTACCCACTACGCACTACTCGCTACTCACTATACTCCCTATTCCCTACTCACTACTCGCTGGTCGCAAGTCGCTATTCACTATTAACGACTCACTACTCACTACTCACGACTCACTACTCACTACTCACAAACTTCTGCTCGCAGCTCCCTACACACTAACCACTACTCAATACCCACTGCTCGCTTCTCACTACTGACTACTCACCACTCACGACCCCCTACTCAATAGTCCCTACTCACTACTCGCTGCTCCCTCCCACTCGCTACGCACTACTCTTTACTCACTACTCACTACTGACTCCTAACTACTCCCTCCTCACTACTCACTACTCACAAGGCCCTACTCGCTACCCACTACTCACTACTCGCTACTCACTACTCGCTATTCCCTGTTCGCTACCCGCTACGCGCTACTCACCACTCACTACTCACTACTCTCTACAAACTGCGCACTACGCACTACTCACTACTCCCTACCGACTCCTCGCTACTCGCTACTGTCTACTCCCTCAGCCCTACTCCCTGCGTGCTACTCACTATGCACTACTCACTATGCACTACTCACTACACCCTACTCACTCCTCACTACTCACTACTCCGAATTCCTTACTCTCTACTTCTTTCCCACTACTCACTACCTACTACTCACTACTCAATACTCACTAGTCTCTACGCACTACTCACTACTACCTCTACCCACGACCCACTACTCACTACTCACTACTCACGACTTTCTGCGCACTACTCACTATGAAGTACCCACTACTCACCAATCGCTACTCGAAACACTCTATTTTCTATTCACTACCCGAGAGGCCCCCTCCCCTGCCACTTGTTCAGCGCAAAAGGGGGGAGGACCGCCCCCCCCCTTCAAGGGGGGAGGGGGGCGGGGGGTCGGACCCCCCCCCCCCCCTTTTTAAGGGAGGGAGAGGGGGGGGGGTCGAACATCGCACCCCCCCCCCCCCCTTGAACGGGGGGAGGAGGGAGGAGGGGGGGGGTTCTGCGAGCACACACACACACACACTTGTGTGTATTCAGGGCCATCCACTGGCGCGCTTTCGCTCAGTAGGGCGTAGCGAGGCGAACTAAGTCTTAGCAGGGCTTACCAAGGATTAGCGAGGCTTACCAAGTGTTAGCAAGGCTTAGAAGGGCCCAGCGAAGCTCAGCACGGTTTAAGGCTTCGCCAGCTTATCAGGGTTTAGCACAGCTTGCCAAGACCGAGCAAGGCGCAAGGCGCAGCAGGGTTTAACAGAGTTGACCAGGCCGTAACAAAATTTAGCAAGGGGGGTACCAGGGGGTCTCAGGGCCTAGTAGAGCTTATCACGGCTGAGCAGAGCGCGGCAAGGTGCTGTTTTAACTCAGGGGCTTACCAAGGCTTAGCAGAGCGTAGCAGGGCTGAGCAAAGCTTAGCAGGGACTCGCAGGGTTTAGCGGGGCGGACCAAGCCTTACAATCTTGCGCCATGGCTCAGCAAATCTTCACAGAGCTTGGCATGGCTGGGCATTGCTTAGCAAATCTGGGCAGGGGGTACCAGGTGGTTACCAAATCCTTGCGAAGCCTGACAAATATTACTAGGGCGTGGCCAGGCTTACCAGGGCTATATAAAAAAGGCGAACTGATGGCGGGCTGAGCTGATTAGCGGTGATGTTTCAAAGGGTTGGGAAAAGAGATAGACCGACCGACATGATGAAGAGAAAAAAAAAGCTACGAAAACTCTTCTGGAGCACAAAGGTACTCCACAATCCCTCGGCCTCTCCTCCTACTCCTCCTCCTCATCCACAGTTACTTGATATGAATCCTGGCGGGCGTTTTCCTATTCCGCGTGTCGACATTGGGCGGAAGCGGGGGGGAGAGGGGGTCTGGCTCCAGACCTCTTCTTAGTGCGACAGTTTGCATCCGTGCGTCCCATGGTGGAGACCCCGCCTGCTCGAAACAGGCGCCACAAGCAGCCAAGATCTACTCCGTGGGGGGGGGGGCAAGGGCCCGCGCCGATCTGCGAAACGATATTCTAAAAACGTGCACTACTGCAGTCTCCTCTCTCCCCGGAGCCTGTCCGAGCGGGGCAGCTTTTCCCCCACATACTGCATTCTAGCGTATGGGGGTTCAAAAAGTGATGTTCCAGATGGCTTTTCCCGATAAGAAAATAAAACGGTGTGTGTGTGTGTGTCGTGTTGTGTTGTGTCGTGATGTGTTGTATTGTGCTGTGTTGTGTTGTGTTGTGTTGTGCCGTGATGTGTTGTGTTGTGTTGTGTTATTTTGTGGTGTGGTGTGGTGTTGTGTGGTGTTGTGTTGTGTTGTGTTGTGTTGATTGTGATGTGGCGTGGCTTGGTGTGGTGTGGTGTAGTGTGTTGTGTTATATTGTGCTGTGATGTGCTGTGTTGTGTTGTACCGTGCTGCGTTGTGTTGTGTGTATGTGCGTGTGTTTCAATCAGGTGTTCCTGCCGCAGCGTTGCCCTCATGTTGGGATCGACGCTGTGCTCCCGTCGTTCAG